AAATGTTATGGAAAATTCACCATTATAGACCGATTTTGTGACGATGGAAATGTAAAGTAAATGTAATAATATTCACTTTTAAGTGAAAAACTGAATGCCGGACCTTTTCTTTGATAGTAATTTTACTGTGTGATATCCTTATTTTGTCCAAATTGCAAAGTCCGTAATTTGAAGCTGACTATTTCATATTGAATTCATAAACGCACCCATAATGATCAGCTGAATAATGTTTATTTTGAATCATTAATCCATATTTGTATAATTTAGTTAACTCCATGTGTGGGTTCCAGGCCGCTAGATTGCATAATATACCAGAGGCAACGACATAAACTACGAACTAGACAGTCGAAACTGTGCATGTCTTCACACAAACGTTTAGTTCTCTCCACCATCTTTATTAAAAGCATGGTTTCTGTGGTTGGTGTGTGAGAGAGAGAGAGAGATCGATCGAGCGAGCGAGAAACAGAGTGAGAGATCTCTCTCTTGGATTAAGAATAGTGAAAATGCAATCGGAAACAGAGCTGGTAAGATGAAATGTGCAAGAGAATATATATATATATATATATAGCAATAATATAGGAAATCTATTTCCTTAATTTCTCTAGTACCGAAAACAGAAGCGATAACATCAGAGCTTATGGATAATATGGTCTTTAATAATTTAGCCCTAGGGCCTGTTTTATACCTGGTTTTGGTTCCCATCCTATTTACATCTGTATATAATGAATGTAAAATGAATCCATCCTTATTCTAATTTTCAGCTCCATTCATTGTTTCCCACTTTGGTTGAAGTTGCCCATTTTCTACATAAATGGGTGGTTATTACCCCCGTTTTGGTCCAGTACATGCAAATGACAGGTGATGCTGATAGTGATATTGGGTGGCTGATTATTTCACAGTCATCACAGTAGGGATTTTGTGTGATTGTGTCAAAGGATCCTATAAACTCTGCCCAATTCCTTCAGGGCTGTCGGATATTCCTGGGGAAGCCATGGTGAAGTTGTATTGTCCCAAGTGCATGGATGTGTACACGCCCAAGTCCTCGCGACACCACCACACGGACGGGGCTTACTTTGGGACAGGCTTCCCCCACATGCTCTTCATGGTGCATCCAGAGTACCGGCCCAAACGCCCTGCCAACCAGTTTGTGCCCAGGTGAAAATACAGCACTTGTATTTTTTATTTCTTGGTTATTATAAACTGAAGTTCCTGCAGAACTACTTAGCTACAGAGTACATAGTCAACCAAATGACCATTTTATTAGAATGTTTTTGCTTTTATATAAATAATTTCATAATTTTAATCCAGAATTTTTGGAAGGTTTTAATCAAAACGGTTTCCATTGATTCATTTGTTTGCAGTTTAACTTGGAGGCATAAATAACAGCATATTCTGGCTTCCATTTAACATTACTATAATGTTGCAAAGTGTTCATATGGACTGATTTTATTTTACATTAGTTCAAGTATGTCTGAAATTCTCATTTGGTTTGCTGTAGGGCATCACCTGATGGTGTCAGATGGTTGTGTTCCTAAATATCAACATGGCCTGTCCTTGTTTGCCATCTAATATCATTCCAGCTGGTTTTCCTTTTCTGCAAATTTGACGCCGTATCCGTTGGTGTATGTTTTGCTAATAAACGCTCCCGCTTCGACGTTCCTCTCGCCCTCTTAGGCTCTATGGGTTCAAGATCCACCCCATGGCGTATCAACTGCAGCTGCAGGCAGCCTCTAGCTTCAAGAGCCCCGTCAAGGCCATTCGCTAGAGCCCAGTGGAGGGGGTGGGAGAGGCGCCTGATACGTGCTGATGCCTGCTTTGATAGAGCGTATATTTTATGGTTCATATTATGTAGGTAGTGATGGACATGTACAAACATGGCTGCAGACTGAGGGATGCACCAATACACACAGATATATGTATACATAGACATACAATCAAAACTGAATTAGAGGTTTCAGCCAAAACATGTTTGTGTCTGGTTTTGAAAACAGTTGTGTGGTGAATGAAACTGTCTGGGCCTGTGTTTCTTTCCTCAGCCCAGAGCTGACTTTCTTACCCTGTCCTTTCCAGTTTTTAGCTATTGAGAGGGGAAGAACTATTTCAATAGCAAAACTGTATGGAAAAGCAGTCCTAGCTTGGGATGGTTTGAATAATTTTTACAAACATCTAATGTAAAGGCAAAGATCATTTGTAAATTTAGAGGTGGTTTTTAAGTATAATACTGGAATTGTGCAGTAAGGTGAGAGGACTTTCTTCCTGTCTCTTGACTGACATTCCCCCATCCAGAACTGGGGAGAATCTGCTGAACAATTTAGGGTAACTGTGCTGTGCACTGGTTTAACTTCACTGTCTGTACCTCTTCAACAGGAACATTCACTACTGCATTTTCTGGTTGAATAATTAATGTAAAGTATATTAGGGAAATAAGTGAAATATTAGTCAATTTCATATGAATGCTCTAGATTTGTGGTTCCATTGTAACCTCTGTATTTCTGTCATTTTTCAATTGGGAGAGCACCTTTTTAATGTTTTACTATTGTGATGGCAGAAACTATTATGTTTTCCCCCAATTGTGTGATGGTGGCCAGGATTCAAAATTCACAATAAATTGATTTTCAGTTACTAGTCGTGGTCTGTCTTCATTTTCTGTTTGTTTTTTCTTGTGTTTTAAGGTGCTTCTCGACTGCACCAGGTACTGTACTTTGATAGTCAGTCCTGCTACGATGGGTGATTATCACACCACTAATCCATTCCAATGCGACTAACATATTAGTACCCGAGTCCAATACAACCTGGAATCTGTATTGCATGATCTTCAAAGAAAAAAGAACAACGCCATATGGTCTTAGAGAGGAACAGTACTTGCAAGCAGCAACAACTATCCAAGTCAATGATTGTGATGTCTTGAACGAATCGTTCTTTGATCCAGTTATTTTCTGTGAATTGCTTTGGCTGATTATCAAATCTAAAAGAATCAATTTTTGTATATCAATGCTTTGAGACATCAAAATCTATATGTAAATTAGCATATGAAAACACAGCAACCTTTTTTAATTCACATATCTCTTGCGTAGACTCTATAGCCATGTTGCCTTCAGTGCGCCACTGGTATCACTATTATATAAATCATTTTGTTTAATACATTTTGTTTTGACGTCACATTCCCCTAACCCTATTTTTCTCATCGGATATATGTATTTTAGTATGTTATTTTAGTGAACGTTAAGTTTTTCAGGAACGCATTAGTCGCATTGCAGAATGACTCACTTCAAAAAAGTACCAAAAGTAGGGAACTTCAAGGTATTGGTTTACCATTGCTGTAAAAACTGGTAACAGCATTGAATGATGAACATAAAGCGTTGTATTGTGTTTCTGAGATATACTGCTTGCTTAACCAATCTGGTACTTTCCCACCCCAAGGTACCAGAAACGTACCTCCGCAGATTTGTACTTTGGGTACTGGACCGTTTGTTACTGGTACTCCACCTGAAGTCAATAGAAATGGGAAAGTACTGAAAATACCATACCAAAAAGTACTCTACCTGGTGCAGTGGAAAAGCACCCTTAATTAGTATTTTTTTTTCTTCTGCAGCTAAAAAATTGTGCTTAAGAAAATTGTAAATGTAGGTAATGTGCATATCTTTTGTGATATGCACTTTTTTATGTACTCGTGTCCTACAGTGCATGTATGGTTTCATTCTCAGAGATTTCACACATCTTTGTTTTTAAAACTGCTTTGCTCTGACATCATTATCCACCTCAGTGAAATATTGCATATGTTCATTACAAGTGATTCACTTTATTGAAGGACTCCTTGCAGTCCACCTTTGTCTTTGTAGAAATATTGTACTGTAATAATCTTTTATCAACTGTTCTCTTGATAGTCATAAAGGAACTAGAGGCGAACATCAAACTGTGTAGTCATAGTTGTGATGTGTTACCAACGTATTACCAATTCCTTGGAAATATATTCCTTGGAATACCTTTGGAAAAATGCTGATATAAATTATAAACCTGTATTGGAAAAGTGACCAGACGATGTAGGGATTAAATTAGCTTTAGTAGCATAATTTCTTTAGCATTTGACTCAGACACCCTTACGGTCATTAATTCTGTTACAACAGCTGCCTTTACAATTGTCTTATTACTAATAAAATAGTTACACAATATTAATGAAAGTATTGAATCTTAGAATGAAAATGAACCTAGAAGCCCAGAAATTTGAGTGCAACATTCATGATTATTACACTGGCCTGGATTAACCACATGGGCGTTTGCAATTTCATATTGAATATATTTCATATAATTATGTATTATACTCACTGAAAAGCCTATGTCACGCATTTCAGTGGCCTGTACTACGAAGCGGGGTTACTGGCTTATCGGGGTAACTTGTCGGATTTAAGGTAGCACCGTTTAAATGGACCTCATATTCGTTCATTTACATTTTGCCCAGACTACCTTAAATCTGACAAGTTACCCCGTTAATCCAGTAACCCCGCTTCGTAGTACAGGCCACTGAATTTCCTGAACCACCAATCAGCACCATTTCTTTCTGGTGTAACGTCTCGTAGGGCAAATGAGTGTGTTGCTAATTATTTAATACTCGTTAGCTAGCTTGAATCAAGATGGACAGTCAACTTAGTGGGTATTAAAAAGAAAACATACAAAACTGATGGGTCAGAGACCCTTCCTAGTGCTGTTGTCCAGGGGCACTTAATTCTCATAATCTGGCCCTGCTATTATGTTTTAATGCATTAATAAGTGTTGCTAGTACCTTAAATAAATGAAAGAAGAAAGAAAAGGGAATATTATTGCATTAGCTGTATGAATATCCAGCTCAGTTACAAATCTCTCATCCCTTCATTAAGAATAAGAAAAAAAAAAGTTCTATGATTTCCACCTGTTCATCGTCAGCCTCATGATCTCTGAAGTGAATGATATTTGGCCCAGCTGCTAGCAATCTGACTTTCCTTAATTGGTTGCCAAGAACTATTACCTGGGCCACAATAAAAGCTGTGCAAAGGCTCTTCTCTAACATAGCTTTCTGAAAGGCAAAATGAACAGAGTTCTTGTTGGTGTGTTTGCAGCCATTGTGCTCTTTGCATTCGGTAAGTTGAAAATCCTCTCCTTGTTTTTTTCTTTTCTTTTTTTGATTGGTTCAATGGTCGGTTAATTGTGTGCTTATCAATGAACTGCTGCAATATACAGAACCTTCTCTTGCCTGTCCAGGACTTAGTGATCCATGAATTGTGACCTTAAGTCAGTTGCCCTGTCTGCTCAGGGTGTCCTGCTGGTGTGGAATTACTGGGCTTGGAATGTCTGGGGAAACTATTCTTGGGAATGTTATGCAGTACTTGAGTGTGTAATTATAAGCTTCTTAAAGGCCCCTTGCCTATCCCCACATGGCAGTCCTCAAACTGCCCACTGGTCTGACATAAAATCTGTAGGTCTATTGGACTAAATTCTGATTAACTCCTTTAGGACATTCTCTGGAATGCCACAGATGTGACCTTGGCTTCTGGAACATGTGTCTCACCACAAAGATGACATGTAAACCAGGAGAGCAGTGCTTCAGTGGAACAGGGAAAGCTGGTAAGACTGACTGCTGCTTTCTGAGGCTCTGCTGTAGCCTGGCTGATCTAACATCAGTTACATGTGCCCTCTCCTCCTAGCTCATGTAATTGACATCAAGAAGAAAGGCTGTCTGCGATCTGAAGATTGCAACCAAGAATCCATTGTGTCTTTCTTCACAAACAAGACCCTTTACTCTTTCAACACAACTTGCTGTGCCACAGATCTCTGCAATGCTGCCCCCAGGCTATCTCTGCCAGCTCCTCTGCTGCTGGCCGTTCTCATGCTATCATTTGTGGGAGTCCACTTCCAAGTTTGACGTTGCCTTTTCCTACCGTAGTGGGACTCTGACCATTTAACTTGTTCCTGATGTATGTTCAATTACACTTCATGTTCACTCAAGCCAGTTGGCTGAGACTATTTGTATTGGTGTGATGTACAACCTCAAGCTAAAAATGCAATCGAACACTGTCTTGCTAATGCTTGATTGCATTCAAGATGCTTTTACTAGTCAAAATTGGGGTATTGGATAATGAAACCATATCAAATTTGGGAGGGGGAAGTGACTAACAAATGAATTGCTGAACTGTACTGCTCTTATCTATTGTATTTAATGTTTTTTCTGAATAAATGTTGCCTGTAATTCAAAAGGTGTCTAAATATTGGTGGCAGCAACACTTGACTAATCCATGGCCAGTAACATGGTGACTTCTATGCAACAACTAGCCTGCATGTTAAAGCCTGACTCGGTGCCGGTAAAAATGCAGAAGTACTAAACTAATGCCAATACTAGTTAATCCTGGTTATAGTGCATCCCATCAGTAACTCTACAACAGGAAGTAAAATAAAGTGGCAGGCTACTGTGTACATAGCAGGATGTCTGCTACAGTACTTCAAATTCAGTGTAGAAGCTGTACAATACAACGGTCATTCCCTCTTGCTACGGAAACTTATGATTGACTTCCATGCTTGTGGCTAAAACTGCACTTGACTGTTCAAACTTGTGCTACAGAAGCTCTCCAGTTGCCTGTAGCTCCTCCATGTATGACTGTACGTTCACTGATGGCTCCTCCAGATCCAGGCTCAGGAATCTTTCCACAAGACTCAAACACCTAAGAGGGAAGAAGGGGCTTATTTCTGGCTGGGACTTGGTTTAAAATTTAAAGTTGAAGTCTTAGCTCTGCAGATTTTCACCTGTACCACTTTACCCAGTTTATGGTGTAAACTAAGTTACGATAACAGGACTTGAGGCTAGTGAACCTATGTGAAAGAATTCAGTCAATGCACCAAGGAGCTAAATGCTAGTGTCTGCCAGGCAAAACAAAAACCTCCCCTGAACCTCAAGAATCACACACCTGTGTGCAATGCACGATGGTGTTCTCAAGTAACACACATGGTGCAGTCACCAATCATCACTGGGTATGATGAAAATTTAGATTTAAATTGACTTTCCCCAAACCATAACCGATTATTCACATTAAGTTTGACTACACACTTGCAAATCCACCATTCTGCATATTTAAGCTTACCTTTTAGTTTGCTCTGCCGTTGACGGCCGATCAATGCGTTTAATAGGCTTGCCTGCCCTGTACAGCTCAGACACCTGCACACACACACAAAAGCTTGTACTGCTCTCACTGAGTTTGGACAAATGGAGTTAAGTTTCTGCTATAACTTGCCTGCATGGCAGCAGCTGAATGCCTGCTTACCTCCACTCCTCTCTGTACTACAGCGTGCGGCAGCCCAGCCAGGGTAGCGATGTTGGCAGCGTAACTGGACTGGCAAATACCTTCTTTTAGCTGGTACAGGAAAACCAAGTCCTCTCCATCTATAGCAGTTTCCAGGGTCTATGCAGAGAGCATGTAAATAGAGAAATGCTTTAATGTTTATAAAATGCACCAGTAATTGTGTGTATATATAACCTTACTTCACCTTAACCACAAGTATATATCCTATTAGTGCCCTTGGCCTGCTGAATTCTGTAATGCATGTGAGGGGATAGGGGCGGGTATCGGGCTTCCCGAGCGAATCACCAAGGCGTTGGATTAGAAGACTGACTGGTTGGATAGATGTTTTTTTCCTGTGGCAGCAAAGATTTTGGCGTAGCCAGCTGCACACGGAGAAATGGCCATTGGGAAGTTCACCGGTCTAACGAGGACCAGTCACCGGTGAAATATACCACGGCGCAGCAAAGTATCATATTGAGGCCTCTTCACAGCAAAATTTCAAGCTGCTTTTTGTTGCCGGTTTACCCCTGGAGGAAACGGCTCATGCACAGAGCCGAAGCTGAGAATGGAACCCACAACACTGGCAATGTAACCCCACGGTGCTACCTACTGAAACAGAGGTTGGTATAATAGTTATTTTATATGCTGGGGCCAGCTTAACAACCACAAACACGAACCAGCAGGGAGAGCTGAGGGGAGGGTGCTAGCAGGCCCAGCTGAACCAGGCTGTGAAAATTGGTAGCCAGCAGGATATGTGGACACTGAGTGGGAGGTTTCTGTAACCAGAAGTTGACACAAGACGCCAGGAGAGACAGGCCATCCACCTGGATTCAAAACAAACATGTAATCAGTCACTCCACCCACAGAGAATCACCCTCCACCCTCCCCAGGGAGGATTCCCCCTTTTCCCACCATCTCAGGCTCACCGTGTTGGTCCCTTTGCCAAATTCATCAATCAGCACCAAAGAGCTTCCTGTGCTGTTGTTCAGTGCATAGGCCATCTGAAGGAGATGGAGGGAAGGAGAGGCACTGTCAGAAATTCTGAACTCTGAATAGAGACCACAGAGTGGCAAAATTTGTTTAAAATTAGTTTCAGGGGAACACATTCATTATAGCAATGATGGACAATTCCGACATAGACATTACTGACTAGAGAAGACCATAACATGAAACAATGTACAGAAATAGTATCTGTTCCAGATGTGTGGGTGGAGTTGGTGGATTTCACTCCATTTAACATTGATATACATCAAAATGAATGTGTCACACCCGACTGAGAAATAACTGAAATATTCTAAACTCAAGTAGTATGTGTAGCCATGCATGTAATTATACTTGCTGAGACCTACCTGATTTAAGTCAATCATGAAGGTGCTCATCCCTACAGACACGGATTCACGGCTTTGCATCCGTGTGAAAATGCAGTCGACCAATCCGACCTCTGCCTCTTTCGCTGGCACATCAGAGCCAATCAGTGCCATGAACACAATCAGGCCAACCTATCCGACACAGAATATATATACATATCCTCGTTGCCGCTTTATTAGGTTTGCCTACACAGTACTGGGTATGACCACCTTTTATCTCCAGAATCACTATAAGGGTAGACGGTCAGAGTCTTAATGCACACCACTGCTGTACTGAGCCATTATTGTTGCACTAGTGGCCTTGCTGTTAGCATAAGAAGCCTTATCTAACCTCACTCACAAGGGGTTTTCACCCACTGAAATGTGCACCATTCTGTGTAAACTCTAAAAACTGTAGAGCATGAAAATCCCAGAAGGGTGACTGTTTCAGAGATGCTGGGGCCGCCAAATCTAGCACCAAAAATCACAACATCTAAAACTGCACACTGCATGCCTTAGCCACTCTAAACGTTAGTTCCCAGTAACCGCTTGACCCAGTTTGTATGCTGTATATAATGAGTTGCAGCCACATGACTTGGTGTTTGTAGGGGAAGGCTGTTTGCCTTAACAGACAGGCATACCCAATTAAACTAATTAGGGATTCTGTATATAATCAACTTCAGCCACATGATTTGCTGTATATGTAAATATGTAATTAAAGTTACATCCCAAAATAGTAAACACTGTGAAATGAAAGTAACACAGTAATCTAGAGAAAATATGAGTAGCCTTCATGTGAGTAGTTATGTGTCTGCCAGTTTTCCTGCCTGTTTGAGGTAGATGCTCTTTCCTGAAGAGTTTGGTCCAGTCAGGACCTTTACTTTGCCCTCTCTCTCTGAACTGGACAGAGGATTAGGAACAAACACAGCGGAGCACAGCTCCAGCAGGGGGTGCCTGTGAGTCAGACAGAAAGAGACATGAACTAGCAATGCTGGGCATTTTAGGCCCAGAAGCTACAAATCCAGCCCAAGATTTTGTTTCTACCACCCAGCTGAACATAAAGAGTCACAGTCACAGAGTACTAGCTGGTAGATTCAAAATCCTGGATTTGTAGTTCCTGGATCTGAAATTCTCAACACTGTGGCTCTAGACTTTGCAACCCCCAAGAAGACAAGCAGTGTACCTACCTGGCCTGTTTGAGGTTTAAACATGAGTGAGGAGACAGCAACGGGGAGCAATAGCCATTCTCCTGAGAGACCTGGGCCAAAGCCATCAAGCAGTCCAGCTCCGCACTCAACTGCAGGACCTGGTAGAGACAGCTGCTGCGCTGGAGCACTGTGGCCTGCAGCTGCGTCATGACTGCGGTCTCCATGTCTGGTAGAAAGGAGGACACCACCACACTGAGAGAAACAGGCATACTGCAAAACAGACATCACTATAGTCACACAGAGGGACGCAGAGAGAGAGCAGAAAATGATACCACCAAAAGGACACCTCTGATATCACAGTGCAGGTCTCCCAGCATTCTGTCTAGTTCTTTGGTTCTCTCACTGCGGTAGTGCAGACGCTCCTCTGACAAGAACTGATCATCAGGGAGAAAAATTTAAGGGTGTGTCCTTCATTTTGTTTAAGCATTCTAGTATAAAACATTCATACTGAGCTTAAGTGGAAACAGGAGAAAGAGAAGGAGGTTGGGTTTTTGTATATAAACATTTGTGTCTTTTAAATTTTAATTTCGAAGAGGTCAGATGTGGGGAGGTACTAGGCATTACCTAGATTAGTTGTCTCACCATGAAATCAAGTCCCTCAATCTGAAAGTCCTCTTTTTCAATCATGCTGGGCAAACGAGGGACAGACAGCAGAAACCCAATCTGCGGAGAAGGGAGACCGAGTTCCATCAACTAAGATGGATAAAAATACTTGCAAACAGACAGACAGCAAAGGCGAATGTCTGACCAGAGGGATGTAGATGACACTGCAGGACGGGATCCGTGAATCCAGGTTTTCCAGCTCTTTGCGAGCTACTTGCGTCAGGAAGTCAGACAGACCCATCATCCTTCTCTTCTCTGGCCATGGGTGGAATAAGGAAGCTGAGTCATTTTTCACTTATGCTGCTACCATATCTGCTTGGTTATCTGGTCCCCAGGGGCTTCACTGCTCTATTTGCCCAAATGCAGAGGTAGATAGTTCATGTCCAGAATGTAAAAATACAGACCAAGATTTTGTTTCATCCAACCAGTTGAGTTACTGCGACTCTTTTTATTCAACTGTTTAGTTGAGTAAAATCTTGGTCTGGAATTTTACTTTCTGGACGTAAAATTTCCATCTCTGCCCAAACGTTGCCCATTCTTAACACCCAGATTCCAAGCTTGTTAATTTTGAACAGACCTTAAACCAGACCATCAGGCTAAGACTTACTCTCATCAATTTCGGGGTCTACGTTGGGTTTGACAGTGAAACGATTTTCGGCTAGACTGCCCTCAAAGTCGACCTGTAGCCAGGTTTCAAAACAATGACATAAAAACATACACAATGACCAAATTATCAAGGAAAAATGAAATATTGCAATGATGCAAAAAAAAACACAGGTTGTAACCTCTAAGGGACTTCAAAAACTTAAGTGACAGTGTACAGTGTAGAGCCCTGTCAACAGTCACTTCAAATTTAAAGTGCACCGACTCACCACTTTGCTAATAAGGGAGGCGATGCAATATAAATCCTCGGTAAAGCTCTCGCTGATCTCCCGAAATAGCTGCACAGATTGCGGCAAGGAGCGGACCGTGTCTCTAATACACACTGCACTGTAAACTGTCTGCAGAGCCAAGATGTAAAAATATAGCAGCACAGAAATATAATATGTACATGTAACACAAACTGTAGAATACCACACACATATGCATTTGCTTATATTCTTTATCTAAAGTATACTGTCCATATATAAGGCAGATTGTTGTGACGAATGCAATTTAATTGCTATTGACACTACATTAAGACCTGTATTACACTGATATTGACTTACATGTGCATTGATGATTCATTTATATTTAAACAGTAACATCCTACCTTGTAGAGGCTCTGCCAATCACTGACTTTAGTGTGAGACAGGGACATTCTATATAATAATGTCTATAAACAAACAGCATGACATCATGTATGAAAACAAACATCACTATATAACTGTTACAAGAATTCACAAGAACACTTCACATATCAAGTAAAGGCATTAAACTGAAATTCACACTATTAATCACAGAGTTAAAATAAGTGAACTAATGAGCGAATAAATACATCTACCAGAATGATTTCGTACCTGTATGTATATATTTCTGCATATGTATACACACACACACACACACACACGTATTTGCATATATATAGAAATAATAATAATAATAGTAATAATATATAAACTCAGCACTATATTTCAAAGTATTAAACAAAAAATATACAGAGAAATGCTATATAGATGAGTTAGGCAGGTGTAATCTTAGCCAGACAGTAAACGGTTCCACTGAACCTTGAATCACCCACGTTACTGAGTATGACTTTTACGGGAACTTCACTGCATGTCAGGGCCTGTGCTGTGTTACCGGGATGCTCCTGATGTTGCGCAGGCAGCCCTGCAGCGTGCTCAGCGTGTCCGCACTGCGCGGGGAGCTGAAGAAGCGCACCACCTCCTGCCTCCTGCTCAGTACGCTCAGGTCTCTGGAGGGCCTCAGGAACCACTGGCTGGAAAAGAGAAGGGCAGCTAAAGCCAGAGAAGAGCCACCTGCTCATGAAAGGGAAGGAGCTGGGAGATAGGGGAGGCAGAGGAGAGAGTGCAGGAGACACAGCCATCCGGCCATCTTCACATATCGGGTCAAGGCTGCATTCATTTGGAGCCTGTCTCAGAAATCATGGGGTTTTAGGAGGAAGGCATCCAGGATGGCATGAAGTTCCTGACTGATACAGGCCACCATTATTATCATACATGCTGGTCCTATACAGATAAGTATTTTTCAGTTGGTTACTTGCAACTGAGCAGGTATATCATGGTTCATTTTCTGCAGAGTGATGAAACAGCCTAGAGAATAGTGACAGCTTTACACTTTAGTCAGTGTATGTCAAAATATGAGACAAAAAGGACAAAGAATTAAACAAAGAAACAGATTTAATGATTTAAATTTAAACTATTACCCATGTAAGAGAAAACCAGAAGGCAGAGAGGATATGAGTATGATGACAGAAGAGGGAAGAATGAAGAAAAAGAGAAGAGAAAAGAAAACACATCTCCAGACAGACAGCAGGTGGCAGAGCTGCAGTAGGGATGATGTGACTTTTCACTTTATACAATGTAGTGATGTGTAAAGTCAGCCTTTCAAAGCCGGTGCTGGTGACTTCAGCTGCCAATCACTAACTGCTTCAGCCAGCTTCCTACCAGTTTCCTTTGAACTGAAGCAGGCAGTGACTGACAGTGCCCAGTATCCACACCCCACATGCATTCGAGTGTCAGTTTACCTCAGTATTACCTAGAATTATCTGACCCGTATTTTTGTGTAAATTTTCAATTTGAATGAAATTACTGAAAGGGACTTACCGGAGCAATCTGGAGCCAAACTTAGACCTGCAACGATTTAAAATCCCTAAAACACAGATGTATTTATGGATTTATTAAAACAATATACATCTCTGATATATTGATAAGTGCCATTTTAACTGAGAACATTTTAGCATACATGAATTAAATAATCTGATACATTTAGCACATTAAAGTGTACCTCACAAACTATGTATCAATATGTCCTGAAGTTCTTTATTAAGAAAAATATAGCAATACTGTAGTTTAAATGGCAAGAACATTCTGAGCACATACAGGCCCCAAAGACCTAGTCTGCCAGTGTAGCTCACCATAGAGACTGAGACCTTCTTTCTCTCCCGACTGCAGCTTGTACACAGAGGGGTGCAGCTCCAGTTTGAAAACCTGGAGGACACTAATATAAAACACCAATCCAGAGTAAGCGAACCATTTGGCAGGAAGATAGCAGCCGTCACCACAGGCAGCTGAGTCTAACGTACATGCAACATGCAAAAATGTAGTTTAAAGAGATGAGATCAAGACCGTGGGGCAGTTTTATTTACAGAATCTGACTGAGAAAGTTGCAGCAGGAATCTTATCCTGAAATGGTCCACTGAACTATCTAGTTGCCTATTTATAGAATATAAATATATTCTGGGAATTAATAAAAATGACTGACCTGTAAGTGTCTCTGTCTACAAATACCACATCTTTCCTGTCAACGAATAGAGTAAAACTATGACAATTGACACCAGAACACACTGATTTACAAATACATGGTACGAAACGTACAAAAAAACTTCAATGTAGGGGAGCAAACACATAAACAATAACAGACGAAAAAAGATACTATGATAAAGAATTTTTGACAGAGATAAGAGGTACCTTTGCCCAGAGACAAGAGGGAGCATTGTCACAAAGAACACTAACAGATGCATATACACAGAGTGAATACAAGGAAACACAGTATTACAGTGTGTATGGGAGGAAATGAAAAATCGGAACTCCCACGCTGCTGTCCTCAAGCTCAACCCCGACCCTACGCCTGTCTAGGCATTTCAGCAGAGCCCCCAAAGACCGCATCTAGAAAGAGGAAGAAAGGGCAGAGCAGACAGGAATGGTCATCAAAATCAAGTACAGCCTTGTACTCTATGTGAATAGACATATGGAATAACTCATTACACAATGCAGTACAGAGACAGAACACTGGGCACAGAATTGGCTACAAAGAAAAATACTGAAACCTCCTACTTAGGAAATCAATAAATCGCACTGTAACAAGCTTGTGTTCTTAATGACCAGTATTTTCTCAACAAGAAGTACATATAAATTGTACACCCAAAGATCTATGAAAATCAATCAAATAGCATTAAACAATTATAAACGGTGAATTAACATTTAACAAAAACAAAAAAATTGTGGGATCCATATTTCAATTCTATAACAACTAAAATAAAACTGATACACTATTAAACTAATACATCTATCCATCCATCCATCCATTTTCTGAAAACGTTTGTCCTATTCAGGGTCACAGGGGGTCCAGAGCCTATCCTGGAGGCTACGGGTGCTAAACTAATATATTACATAGATATTGATTACTCGTTAATATGTGAGTGATCTGCATCATTTAAAAAACCATCGACTGAGGAAGACCCCTTACCATGAGAGTGCAGTCAAAGGGAAGGCAGGAGGAAAGGTAGGGGATTCTCTCTGTCTCTGTGATGGAAGAAGGAAGGAAGGGCAGGTGGGCTGAGAGCAGTCTCTGTTTGGTGACCTGCACTCCTGGGGAGGGTAAGTAGAGTGGAGAAAGAGATGGAGCAGAATTATTAAGTGGAGCTGAATTATAGACACAACATCGGACCCTTGCCTATTTACACCTTTGTTTTGGTAAATAATTCCAAAACCTTCTCCATGTCAATAACAATGAGCCATTAGAGGAAAACTGTTAAACTTTATTTTACCCTATACACTGTAGTTTTTTCACTTTTTACTGCAAATACAATAATTTAATTTTACATTAACCAACCAGGAAATCATACAGATGAACATTTTGTCTTACCGAAATCAACATTAGGATACAGGACAATCTCTGGCTTGTTGTATGACTTTCTCTCTGTGATTGCAAAACAAGGAAAATGAAGATCAGATTACATACTGTATAATAACAACATTTTAAATATACCAAATAATACGTGACTGTGTTCAAGGTATATTTTATATTTTACCAGTTTCAGAAAATTGGCAGAAATGCATATGGTAGAGCAATCAATACAGTATTTTAGGAGCCAAATATTATTACTGGACAAAGGAAACAATTTGGAATGTTGTACCAAATTATTCTATAATATTTCTAATACACCTCCCATTGCACATTTGTGAATACTATAGAATGCAGAAACAGGGGTCTTCTAAGGTCATCAAATTTAACATGGCTAACTAAAATGTCACCAAAGGAATGCTGATAAGAAACAGGGCTCAGCAGATGCTCTTGAATCACCTGCCCGTTTGGCACACCTGCTCATGCCTGCACAGTCATTGCACGGAGACTCACCAATGGCCTTAATAAACTTGGCCATGCTGTGCTCCTGTTTGGCACTGGTAATGAGCACACTAGGGCTGACCTCCTGCACAACTGGGAGAGAGTGGGAAAACAGTTTATTCAGAAATTCCCCTATAGCAGAGTTTCCCAATCCGGTCCTTGGGGACACACAGTCGGTCCACGTTTTTGCTCACTCCCAGCTCCCAGGCAAAAACATGGACTGTCTGTGGCTCCCTGATGACCGGATTGGGAATCACTAACCTACAGGATTGTAGAGAGTAACACACAGGTATAAATACAGCCTTCATTGAGGCTTTCAGTGAATTTAATGTCAGCAAATCCGTTCCATTCTGCAGGTACCTCTGTCTAAAAGCTGCAGGTTGTGATCATCCACAGTGTCCATCATGTAGTGTAAGTTGTAGTCCTTACTGTCATAAAAGCTGAGCCCCACCTGTCCATGGTGAACCAGTACACTCAGGTATACCTGACAGATACAGAAATTAAGGCACAGGCATAACTTTTCCCTATTCTGTATAACAAAATAATGTACAATATATTAAATATTAATGAAATTTCTTAAACATTTAACCCCCAAAACTGTACATTTGTCATTAAAAATCTAAATCCCCTGCCTTGAGCCCCTTTACGGTCACATTATATGGATACCTGTAGAATGTACACAAACACTAACATGAGAATAAGGAAGAAAAAAACGGGAAAAATTCTAAACAAAGCACATACGTTTTTCTTAGCAAAAATTAATATATTGTTATTCGTTTTTGCGATCTAGTAATCCATAATTCATAATTCACTGAATAAAAATTAGATGCATTTACAAGCATAACAACGTAGGTGTGTGTCCTTCACCTCGTAGGACTCCTCCTCCTCATCTTCCGGAAGGTTCCCTGGCCTGGCGCCCATGCCCCCTCCTTCAGGATCCTCACTAGACTGTGCCATCCCGCACTGATGGGCAATTTTTAATGATCCACAGTATAACCACAAAGCAAAAATATGTGAAATGGTGTAACAAACCAAATCCCCTCCCCCCCCTTTTCAATGTTTTTATAATTATGTAAAATAACTAAACATCATTCAATTTCTCAACACGAGTTAAAACATACACAAAATACTTCAAATGCAATAATGGTGTAAATTATTTTGATGCTGTATACCTTTTCTACTAACCGATTTTAAGTATTTGGTAGTGATATCACTTTGTATTGATGAACTCAATAAAAATAAATGAGACAATGTCTATTGCTAGTGTATACGAAGTAACACGTATAAATTCGTGGTTCTCAGCAGACCATTCTCGTTAATAAATACTATAAATTACATTTTTAAAATTATTTTAGTATCATACCCCTGAAGAAAAAATGCTATAAAATCCACCTTATTAAGTGCTCCACAGCTGACTCACTCGCTATAGTATAACTTGTATTCATTAGCCATTGCATTGGTCGTATTTATTGGCTATTTATTGAGAGTTGGGTTAGAACTGATGACTGACTTTTCAAACTTAACTTACCCGAGGCTAGTGTTTTTTTGTTTTTTTTTTGACCCGAGGCTAAATGCGATTAGAGTAATGTGACAAAATAACGAATTAATTACAGGTCTATTTTAACCCTTATGATAGCATATTTAATTACACTGCCTTGTTAACGTATTTATTTTACGATGTGTGACGTCGTTACCTGGAAGCTAAAGCTAACGCGGTCCGTTATCTGCTAGCCAGCTAGCTACGCTTTTCCTCTGTTTTGGCCGGCTAGCTAGTTAGCCAAATAGCCTCAGCTGGTAAATCTGTTCGCAACCAATATAGGTAGTTGTTGAGATATTCATCGATAATAGCATGTATTAGATGTGGGCGAGATGAAGACTTTTGTTGAATGTATATAATTGTTCAACCTGTACCTTTAGCAAAGGAGTTTTGATACATTTTTTTTTCGTTGAAAAGGATATTTTTTTTGGAGTATTTCTTTTGGGCAAAAGAGAAATAACCAACCATAATATAAGATATATAGAGTAGCAGAATAATCTAAATTAGTAATATACGTTTTAAAATGCTTTGTACCTGGTATAAATTAATTTCTACCTGTGTTATGTACGTTTAACTTGCAGTATTTCAAATTCACCCTTCTTCCTAATAATAAGCAGATAATTATCAAAGAGCGGGTTGAAGTGTAAAACAACCTTAAAATGCTTTCTCGGAAAAACCATTTAAGCAATGCTGTATCCAAAAGTATGTGAAATAAGCAGACCATGTACCAGTATAGTAAATGGACGAAAGTTTGAATGTAAGCTAAATGTATAGTTATAGTGTGAATTCAATAGAGAAATGTTCACTTTCCAGGTTGAAAACAATAAATACCTGCAAACCTATGCAGGGGTGCCTTGGGGGTTGGGAGAGTTAGGATGATTCCAAAGAGGCCTGAGTGACAGGGGCCCTAAAAAAATTGGAAAATAACTGGATTGGTCCAGACTGGGGGGCCCAAAATGATATCCATTCATGGGGCCCAAAATCTCTAGCAATGCCCCTGAACCTACTGTATGTAAGCTCCCATCTACAACTTTGCCTTATGTTTATGATGTCCAGATGGGGGCGTTAAAACCTAACACATCGCACAGCTGCGAAAAAATGTGAATAATGCTTCAGATTAATTCATTTTTGTGGCTCGTTTCAAATGACAGTAAAATATCCTTATGTGAGAGGTTATGTTTGTATTTCTTTGCATTTAACTTGTGAAAAATTCTTGTGTGTTGTCAGTGACTCTAAGAAAGCATGTAAGCAATCTTTCATTTTGTTAGTCGATTAATCCTACGGTAAATATTGAAGTGGATTGAATTGAGTGTTAGATTCATGCTATATTGAGGCAGTTGCAATATTTACTGTGCAGGGTGACATGCATTTTCTTTTGACATGCCATTATCTGCACTAAACATTAACTGCATTTCGCGTCGTGGAATTATTGTTTTTCATCTGCAAGGGCTATTTATTTACAAGAAAGCCTCCTGTACTTTAGTTGGTGCTGCTGGATTTAATTACCACAGAGTAAGGAGAATGTAGGAAGTAAAAGGATTGCGGTGGTGCCGTGAGATTCCTCTGCACCGACTCCATTGCAGAGCTTCGTGTCGCAGCAGTCATTATTGGCAGTGAAGTTAACTCCCAGGACAAACTTCTCTCCGGTCAGGCTGCACAGGGAGGAGAGGGCACAGATTTTCTCATACAAGACAACATGGCCGCCTAGTGCAAATGAGGACAAAGTGTTAAAAATGCACACGCGAGTCAAGAGAGCAGCATTTTCTGGAGCTTGTGGGTAGAAAGGCGACTTCTGTGACACGCCTGAGCTGACTACACATTTAAATTACTACTCATTACCGCCATGCTTGGAGAACACATAACACCTTCCACACAAGTGTTTTCATTCAGAATTTGGAAAGTTATGTGTTACATTAATATCAGTTTTATCTTGAACTGAACATTATTCAGTACTCTACATTTATTTGATTGACACTATCAAACGAAACATGTAGTATTTATTAAAAATATGTATCTCATGCACTGTTTAATCACAAATAATTGCAAAAAGAATGAGAAAGCTGACGAAGTAAGACAGAGTAGAGAAAACTCCCGTCCTGCAGGCGCAGATGTAGGTTTACCTCTCAGCTTATGGTTTTTCTCTTTATTACACTGACACAGGGCGTGGTCCATTTTAGCACCGCTCATTGTGTAAGTCATTATTTGGATGGGAAGTAACCTTAGTTAATGTTCTTCATAAACAGGTAAAAAAATAATCCTCATCAAAAGCCAAATAAATGTACAATCCCTGGGGTACAATCCCCGTACAGTGTACAGTCCCTGACAGGTTCTCCAAACTGAAAGTCATTGTGTAACCTGAAGGATGTGTCATAACCTGCAAGACTCTGACGGGAACAGTGGTTTCCCGGTGATGCTGCAGTTTCCTTATAACTGGAAGTTTCAAGACCGAAGGACCCAGAACTGTAGCATTTGCAGCAAAGCAAGTGGATTCTCACTTCGGTTCCCAACCGGCCTGCTGGAAAGACAGAGCTGGCCTGTGTTACATTTCAGAGGAAACCTGATGCAGTCCAGTGTAGAGATTGGAGGAAACATGCAGGTATAACACAACAGAGGGACTGATAGAGATACCAAGTGAAAAATATGCAGGCATCAGGTGTCGGATAATTATTTCAGTGATGCAAATATACGGCAGCTCAATTTTCATGCAGCTACTCATGTACTATAAGTATTAGCATATAAACAGCAATTTAAAAAGGGGGTGAATTGTAGTAGAATAACAATGTATCTACCTTGACTAAGGTAAATCAGCAGTATAACAACAGGAACATTCTTGCTCAATGCAACAACTGCATCAGACCTTCCAACCCCACCCAGTCAAGTCCCACTCTGCCTCCCCTGCATATTAAACACACCCTTGGCTCATCTACCTGGTTAATTGGCATGGATTAAAAGCATCTAGTTTTTCAGTTAACTCCTTGTGGAGTACTGAATGTTCCACCATGCTGAGTGGCTGGTTGATGGTCTGGTGTCTGTGCCTGATCTTTGCTTACTTTCCTTTTTTCTTGCGATTTGCATTTATTAGCCCTGTACTGTCTGAATCGATTGTGTTGCTTTGTGCCTTAGTTAGAAGTATATGGATTTATGTCATGCCTTGGAATTGCTCGTCTTTTTTAGCCTGTACGTGGAGGACATTCCACCAAGCAGGATTTCTCAGTTAGTGGGGTTCAGCTTAAGTTAACTAAGCTAACTAAATCTTGCTTCAGTCCTATATGCCTCCCTTATAACTCAGGAATGGACAAACACGTGTCTGGTTTCCTGGGATTTTATTTACTACAGCTTATGCGGCTGTTTAGCCACGTGTTTGTTTGTTCCTCAGTGATTTATCAGCTGGATTTGGCCGTTCTCTTCGAACCCTCTTTTTTTTTTCCTGATGGCATACCAGTTGGCTGAACCCTTAAAGACAGCACCAATCAATAACATTAATACGATCAATCAATAAATTAAAACAATTTGAGCGATTTGCAATCACTGCAAGTTCGAGGCTTAAATTCTCAAAAGATTTAAATATCCAGAAACCCAAGACTTTAGAAGCTCAAAAAAAGCTTTTTTTCTATACATGAAGACAAATGAGCAAATCTATGTTTGAAACAGATTTGGTGGTCGACTAGGCATAAGCACTGCTATGCTGAGCTTCCGTTGAAGGCCCATTCACACGTGTAAGCACACATTTATATTTACTTTCTTTAGATGCTTTTATCCAAAGCAAACGGCACTTTATAACCATACAGTTATATAAGCGCTTCTCCTCCGACTGATACACATTTCTGACAATTTTTAGTTGGGTATACGGTAAATCCATTTCATAGACATGGGTATATACCATATACCTGCATATACCCACTACTACAACTCTGACTATGTATAAGTGCAAAGGGGAATAAATGACTCCCTAAGCCTCAGGATTCAAAACAGCTGCCTTCCACATATGTAATCCAGAGTCCTCTCCCACCATGTAAAGATAGTGCTGACCCTGACGTGATTTGAACACGCAACCTTCTGATCTGGAGTCAGACGCGCTACCGTTGCGCCACAGGGTCATCTTACTGCTGAGGGCTCAGATAGCACTGAGAATCTGATCAGCTAGATATCCTGTAATACTCAGTATTTCATAGCAGAATAACAAGTATTCAGTTTTACACCAATTTAAATAACTCCTGAAACCTCTTTAATTACATATACAGTATAATACTCGAATACACCACCATAAAAGTGCAACTTTATGAATTTTGTATTTTACAAGTGTACATTAGGCAAGTCCATATCCTGCCATCATGCTCAATGTGGGTGGAGTTTTCAGGGGGTCCACTGTTTATGATGCCAGGGGGGGTCTGAAAATCAAGGAGGAGACACCAGTCACGTAACCTGGAAAGTGTGCTTCCAAGGAGTGAACATTATAATTTAATGACACAAGTTGGACAGTCGTCTTCTAATACCTCTCCAGTGAGCAACTGAATTATTTAAAATCAAGCTTGGCGTTGTACGTAGTCATCTTGCCATTGCTGCAACCATGTATCATCATGGAGCTAGTAGGGGACTGTGCCTTCTAAAAACATTTGGTCGCATAGCGCCCTCTAGAGTGTGGGAGGTCCTTATTTTCAACTTCTGTGGCCACTGCAATTTACAGTCATGATCAAGATTCAGAATTTATAGTTTATTTAAAAATAAATGTTCACAATTTTATTATATTAAAATCTGGCATCTACAGTTCCAGTTAGCAGTGAGCCATTTTGAATAATTGTTTGTAAATCCATATTTTTATTCAAAAAGAGCATTGCCACCAGGGTGGAACGTAAAGGGGGAAATTTATACTTATTGCTGTAATGGAGTAGTTTTCTTTTTTGTGTGAAATTGTACTTCTTAAGTATTGTTAAGTCACAGTAGAGTTAGAGTCTACTACCGAATTTTTTAAAAATATTGGAAAAAAGTCACATGACAAAGTCTGATCAAAAGAGTGGACACAAGCCGCCACCAACCAATGGCGATAAGTTACATTCAGCTAGGAAGCAGGAGCATGGAAGGTGTATCTAGCAGACCTGCGGAGTTAGACTTCTTCAGACTGGTCATCAGAAAATGTGCCAGAAGATATTCTCGGGCTGCATTTAAGGAAGCTTTTTATTTGATTTGATTGTGATATAAAAACATGTCTTGGGCCACCTAAAGCGGGGGTTCGCAAACTTTTTACACCGTGTACCATTTCAGCGTATTACGCTGGTGAAGAACTTCTCAGGGGTGTCAGAAATGTAGGTTCAAAGGGTGAACTGAAAGTGAAAGTAAAAACCCAACAATGGTGACAATCGTCAGATGGTTGATTTCATTGATTACCAATAATGTTGTCATATCACAAAGGCCTACTGCTAGCCTGTTATTGCAGTTGGCACTGCAGCGGCCTCCAACTGAGACCATTACCTACAAACATCCTATTTTGTGAATAAAAAGAAAATATCCACTTATCTATCCTCTTGTGACTCAGTTTTCCTTATTGTGATACACTGTAACTTATGATGTGATATTCAAACTTGTCTTGAGTGAATTTAGAAAGGAAACGTTGCTTTTTGTAAGATAAATAGATCTGAAAGTGTAGTACTTCTTACCTTTGATACTTAGACTGTAGTTATACTTGAGTAGCATTTCACTGGATGACTTCTACTTGAATAACATTTTGGTATCTGTACTTTTACTTAATAATGATTTTTTTTTCACCAATACATGATAATGCTCTAGACCAGTCAGTTTTATTAGAGTGTGCTGAGCAGGGAGGGCTATATCGAATTCTTACACACACAAAACTGGTCCACATGAATACAAACCAGTAAAGCTGCAGCACAACTTACTATTATACCTGTAAAGAGATTTTGGTCTGAATATTGTCGGTGCTCCACTTCCCAAAGGACTTCGAGGGGTTTTCAAAAACATCTTGAAGGAGTACTCAACACTCTCCGCTTATAACATAATAACAATCGTGCATTTCAACAATGAGTAATGACACATATAGAATTTCTATTGCTAAAAATAGTGAGAATCAATTTTCAATGGGATAAGCAGTGGATGAACAGACCATGAGGCCAGTTGTGTTGCAGGTTTGAGTTACCTTTTGAATGGAAACTGGTGGCCTCAGCAATTACATGAAGAGTTACGGAGATTAAATGATACGCATATGAGGAGCTGCCCACCCTGGGCTAAGAGGTGGATTCAAAATTTTTATTTCTACACCTGAACATGAATGATCAGCACTATACACTACAAACGAGATCATTTGTGCAATTCGGTAAAACCACATGACGTTTTTAATCTCAGATACACATAAAATGAATCTTAATAATGCAAAAAATTACTTATAATAACAACTGAAAAAAGGTCAGATTCATCTGATCTCTGTAATACTTGCAACACTGCACTTCACGATTTTAACAACAAATACAAAGCACACAATTGTAAACTAAAGGCTCTAAAACAATAATGACTGCATGCATTCCATGAAAGGCTCACTTTGGTATTTAAAAAGTCATTGGTTAATAAATTCAGTCAAATACATGATGATCCAGTGGAACATGTTATAATACACAAAATGAAGTACATGAGTGTGATATTGACATTATCCCCGCAGCCAATCAGAGGACGTCCCCTAATGGCGATCTGTCTGACGTCGGCGAAGCCTGACAACTGCAGCATCGACATGGGCTGCCGCCTCTTTCCCTTGAAGGTTTTCCATCAGTTGCATGTGAGCCCCGTTAAGGCGGCCCAGCTCTCCACTCAGGGAGGACAGGTGCTGTCGGAGCTGGGCGGTACCCTGAGGAGCAGGAACCAATCAACACGTTTAAACTCATCACGTTTTACTGGAATGGCTCTGGAATGCAACCAGACCCAATACAAAGCACAGCTAGCAGAATATAAATAATAAGTAACAAATGTGCTTTAGTGAAAGCAACTTAACACATAGACATTACAATGCAGCATGGGGAGAAGATGCAATCTCCACACGCAGAGCAGTGATATGAAACCATCAACCCAGAGTCACGGTGCTGCCCTACCCTTCATGTGAAGTCGGAGGAGAAATGTATTCATATACAGATATTGTTTGCCTTTTAAACTTAGCATTGTTTCTGACAGATGCAGTGTATATATAGCATTACAGATCTCATAACAATTTGAATTTTTAATAGTAAACAGTCAAGGAAAAGAATATGTATTATTATTATTATTGTTGTTGTTATTATTGTTGTTTGTTGTTGTTGTTGTTAATAATAAAACACTGTTTTTACGTATTCTGGAATTTCCAGGATAAAAACATGAAGGCATTGTAAGAAAAAAATATCTGCGATTCAATATATATTTTAAACATCATAAAGGAAAGTAAATATGGTCGATCCAAATCAAACCAAAATGTAGGTACCTGTACAATGTGCATAGCCTCAGACAGCTGATTACCAGGGTGTCTTTGGTACAACTGAACCACTGGCCTGTCCAGCCTTTCTCTGGACTGCAAATCTCTACAGGACACTGGACCCTGACCAAAACAAAATAGACAGTAATGGGGAAACATTTCTGGTTTCTAAACACCGCCTGATTTAAACACACTGAACACACACTGACCAGTGCTCTCCCGTGGCTATGCTTTAAACACACTGAACACACACTGACCAGTGCTCTCCCGTGGCTATGCTTTAAACACACTGAACACACACTGACCAGTGCTCTCCCGTGGCTATGCTCGACCCCTTCCAGCTGCCTATGTTTGCCGCTAATGGCATTCCTTGTCGCAGCTGAGCTCACTGTGAGGTGTTGCTTTGAAAGACAAGAAAAACAGAAAGAATATGACTAAAAAGAAACTTGTTTTCTTTGATGTTAAACTTGAAAATTACACATTACAGCTTTCTAAAACAGCCTTGTATGTGGCAATTACAATCTTGGCCAAAAATACTAGAATTTTTCTGACCAACTGTGGAACTTAATTTGAAACTCACTTGTACTGCAATTAATATAATGAAATATCATATAAAGTTACCTAGATCCTCTTGCTGCCCCTGACCCCTGACCCCTGACTCCATACCTTCAGAGAGACAGTCTCTTTTATTTTCTTCACCAGGCCTTCATTCACTGATTGGTGGGCTGCTTTTTGCCTGGCTGCGGCTTCACGTATCATTTGCCGGATCTGAACTCTGAGCGACTGTGATTGGCTCAGAGCCATGCAAGAAGATGCCATTGCTTGCTCGCATTCTTAGAAGGGGGAGAATAGGAAATACCAAAAAGAGGAAAGCAGGGGTTGACCTAAGCCTGGAAAGTGAAACTAATTATCATGAGCAGTACCTGGAGTGTACGGGCCTACAGGGCTGGTTTCCAGTTGGACTCTATCAGGAGAGCAGCAGCCCTGTGCAGAGTGAGACCCAGTGCGGGGCAGTAGATGCAGAACCCTTAACCGCTCATTGGAACATTCTAATAGCATCTTGCTGCACTGTTTCAGGGCCTATGAAAGACCGTGATGAACAAAAGACAAAAAGTAAAATAAACCTTCGAAAATAATAAAATCTAATAACCAAACATTACATTTAATTTATTTTTGTTTAGAAGATTGTCTTTGTCCAAAGTATCATATAAGTGAGGCAAACAGAACATTACAAACATAGGTACTGTTAAGGGAAGTCAACCACACATAAGTGCAACTAGGCTGTGCTTTCACTGAATGCCCAGGTACAAGTGTAAGCAGGACTGGAGCAGGGGCTACACGACATCTTCCAACAGAGCAAGAACCTAGTAAGACTATTCAGTGACCAGAAGTGCAACATTAACAACATCCAGGGAACACAGAAACGCATCAGGCTAATAGAAGGAACAGATGGGGCTTGAGACGTTTCTTGAAGGTGAAGAGGAAGTCTGATGACCGGATTTGGTTCAGTAGCTCATTCCTTCAATGGGGAGCCACACATGAGAGTCATCTGGAGTGAGACCTCTTGCAAAACATTTCCAAGTCACTATAATTCATAATACACAGGCACGTATTTGCCAGTATTGCCCAGGGTTGGTACCTGTAGTTGTTCCAGTGCGTTTCGCAGTGTGCCCTCCAGCTGGCTTTTCAGTGCAGTTAGCTCTCTTTTCTCATAATCCAGGAGGCCGTCTGCTCCATCTCTGCCCTGAAAGAATGACAATGAATGAAAGTCAGCCAATCTGTTCTACGCGGATTCTGAGAAGGGATGCAAGACCATCTGATGTTCAATTATACAATTTATTCTACAAGCATAACAGCAGTTCTCATGCTCTGAATTTCAACAAGCCATAATAAAAAAGGAACACATAATCTAGAGCAGCAACGCCGGCCTGCTCACAGTCTCCGTAAGGGCTGGTCTCAGTGTCCTGTCCTCCACACTCCTCCTGTTGACCATCAGGTTCTTCCTGAGAGTTTTCAGCATGTCCTCTAGGTGGCCCCGTTCCCTCTCCAGCTTGACACATTCCAGCCACACCTTGCCTGCCTGCCGACGGAGCAGCAGCTCCACACTCCTCACACAGCGCATATACCCCACAGCTACACCTGTACCGGCATCCAGGCACCGCTCCCGCAGGAAGGGAGGGGAGACGGCGCTATAAAACGGGAGGATAGCGGAGCGCGGCCGCTGAAAAGGAAAGACATGTTCGTTCACCGTGACCTCCTCGCTAAAAAAAATTTCAGTCACACTGTAGATATTACAATTGCGAAGTTTAAGTAATAATAGATCGCGTTTTGTGTGGTGATGCTTACACTCACCGTAGCAGCTGCAGATAAGGGTATAATTTTATTGTTTATTTCATTCTTATTTGCACCGTCATCCTCTTTTACAAAGTTGCCCTCAGCTTTACGGCCTGGGTCCCCGCGTCTAGAGGCGCAGCCGGCGGAGGCGATGCAGCTGCGCGGTCTCTTGGAGCCCGAATCGGCGACTCCCACCTTCCGCACCAGCCGCTCCGCTCGGCGGATCGATCGCACCGCGTCGTCGTGCCAGGACTGGGGTCCGATGGTAGCCGACGGTAGTGGGATCGTCTTCGCTGGCATTTTACGCGAAGCGTGGCTTAGCGATAGAACCCAAGCAATTCATTATACAGATATTTGTACTATAAGGATAACTTGATCAAACTTTCGCGCTGTTCTTACGAGTTTGTACATCCAAGTAATTTTACGTATACACGGGTATTTGGAATTGCATTTTGGAATACAATTACTGAAATCAAAACATTATGTAAAATGACTAGGCCTACTTGTTTTTCTTTAAAAAAAACAATTTTCATACACTGAAATATGTATGAGTAGTGCAACTATCCAGTAATAATTTGGGTAATTACGTAAGTAAATGGTACTCATCTGTTCGGCTGCCAGTCCGGTCACTTTCTCCGAAATGGCAAAGCGCTGTCACCTAAGCGACCATAACTACAAACACGGTACGGATGGTGATTGGGCAGCGTGCGCCCATTGTCAGAATGAAAGAGGACCCTAGAAATTTGATAAAGAAATACTGCTGTGCGTTAGGCGAGATAAAATCAAGCACAGGATAAGTCCAACAGGTGGATATTAAATAACTTTAATCTGAGGATGCATAAAATTATGCCAACCATTTAACAATAAATGCATAATATCCATCCATCCAGCCATGTTCAGGAGCTGTTCACACATAGGTTAACAAAATATACATATGTGATACAAAGTAGTGTAATGAACACAAGAATATAACGTTATATCCCTCACTGAAACATTTACACAATTGATACAAAAAAATAATTGTAATGCCAACAGAACTGTGATGTTACTGCCTGCAACTTGGTGTCTGTAGTTAATGATTAGCAATTTAGCATATAACTTCTATAGTTAAAGGCAAAAAAATGAAAAAATTTGAAGGGGTGACTTTTATTGGTAAAAAAAAACCACATAAGCTTTTGTCCCAGGTGGCACAAGTTCCACATCATTATTATTGCATTTAGAAAAATATTTGAAATTAAAGTGTTGATCAGATGGATAAGGTTTCAATTGTGAAAACACTACATGAGTTCCCTGGTTAAGTGCAATAACCTGAATCATAAGCAGTCTGCCATTTGTAAAGAAAACAATGAACCCTGGAATACCTGAACACCACACTACACACTGACGTACAAGTCGTGCACGTTAAGGCTTGAAACAAAAAAGCACACCGAGTAATTCACCTCTGAAGAGGTACAATAGCATCACCTCACTGACAGGTCAAACAACCACTTGGCCGTAATAGCAAAACAGTTTTATACCCAATTACCACACAGTTAAAGTGCAGCTGTTTACAATATGGTGGTAAAAACAAACAAACAAAAAAACAAACGTGCATATCCTCCCACACCCTGGAATGAATTGTCCTTTGTTATGATACTTGAATCAGCTGCTTGCTGAAACCAACATACCACCTGGCACAGACGACAGACAAGCGCATTCTTTAATTGCACGTCTGCGTCACTGTGACGTCCGGAGCACATGGCAGGAATCGCGGAAGCTGCCGCCCGCTTTGCTGCACTATACTCGTTCATAGTGTGTCCTTGAGGGCCGTGCGAGGCTCCAGCTTGGAAAGAGCGTTCTGCTGTAGTTCTGTGAGCTGACGGTCTCGCTCCTCGGAATCAAACAGGACCTGCTAGCTCACAGGAGAGAAGGAGCATCAGTGCACGTCACCATCTTCAAAGCTCTACTGCTTGCCCATATAAATGTGCTCAGTACCTGTATCAGTTCATCTCTCTTCTCCAGGTTCTCTCTTAGTTTCCTCTCCTCCCTGCTTCTGTCCTCCCTCTCTCTCTGCCACTCCCGAAGTGTCTTCTTGCTCTCTTTCTCCCGCTCCCTCAGTGCCGTCTGGGTGTCCCTGAGCTGTGCTGTTAATGTCGACACCGTCTGACCGTGGTTGTCCCCTTGTGCCTGCAGAGGAGGAACAGGTTAATACCGGTTCCTGCTGCCATCTGCAGTGAAGTTCATGTGAAGGTATCTGAATAGCACCAAGAACACTGGAACAATGGAAACAAAGCTGAGGTTTTGACAGCACTGATCCCATCCCATAGACTGAAGTTCTTTCAGTACCTTTTATAAAGCTGAATTGTTTGCTATAGGCAACAGTCTATAAACTGGGAATTAGTGACATTAGTATAGAAGTTTTTCTTCACTTTTCAGCTTCATAATTCACTTTGGACAAAATAAGACGGAGAACATGGAGGAATACATTAACCCCTGGGAGCTATATCTTACTTTTCATAATATAACCAGTCTCGGGTACATCTATGCCACTATTTAGGAAGTTCACAATTCACCTGCACTGCTGTCTGTAACTCCTGTAAGGCTGTAGTGAGCTGATTGACTTCCTGCCACATGGAGGCGCTGTGTTCCTCCCTGTCCTTCAGCCAGCCAGACAGCATAGTCTCTTTCTCTCTCAGCTGATAGGCCAGTGCACCCTCGGCCCCACCACCTGACAAACCCTGTCCAATCACAGAGTCTGAAAGAGCCTACAGCAATGAGAAATAAGACATAATATAATGCGTGTGATGATAGAACAAACTTAAGATTATTGAGAAATATGACTTATTTATTGGAAATGATTATTCACAGTATTTAGAATATTAGAAATTTAGAATTTACTGATTAGTGGAAAAGTCACTAGTGGTTCTCAGTCCTACTCCTGGAGAACCCCTTGCCAGAATGTTTTCATTCCAACCCAATCTTAATCAGACCTATATGGTCCCTAATGGGCTCATAATGAATGTGGCAGGTTGAAAGCAGGGGAGGGTGGAATGATAACATTCTGGAGGGGGGGTCCTGCAAAAACGGTGTAGCCAGTCGTTTTCACTGGCTGAGGAAATCAAATATCTGTGATTAATTTAGTATGTGGACATTAGAGCCAGTTTCTGTAGTTTTATGTTTTGCATGTGTTCTGTAATGTGATCTGCTCCCTTTATGACTCGTCCTACCTGAACATCCTTCAGGGCGCTCTCTAGCGCCTCATTCAGGCAGCAGGTCAGGGTCTCCTTCTCCTGCAGCAGCTTGGTCAGGGCCTGGTCCCTCTGTCTCCACGCCTCCCTCTCCAGCTGCCCCTCCCTGAGCACTCGCTCGCGTTCTCCGAGCTCCACCCGTAATCCCTGAGGTGAACAAAGGGAGGGACCTCCTACGTCCAGAACTATAGGAACCTGTACATCTAAAATTACATGAGTTGATGCAACTCTGTAGTGCAATAAAAAAAAAAACTAATTCCAAAGCCTGAGGGATTATGGCGACTCACGTCAATAACGTCTTGATTACACTGCAGCAATGAACGCAGGGTGTCGAGGTCCATCTCCCGGTCTCTGGTGGCCTGCCTCAGAGCCTCCACCTCCTTCTCCAGCGCCATCTGCTTCTCTCTCTCTTCTCTCAGCACAGTCTCTGAAACTTGCTGATGTAGACATTGGGGTAACATTAACATGAAACGCACAGCATGTTCAAAACAGACACAGCCTGGGAGAGGTAAACATGCAATGGTTCCACTGCGCAGACGAACACACAGCCCAACCAAGCTAACATTTATTTTAAAGTTACTCCACCCATTTAACAATAAATCCATAATATCCATCCACCGACCTTTGTTTAGGAACTGCTCACAAAGCTTTACAAAATATACATGACATCAAAACAGGAAAAAAAAATGTTTACACGAGTGATACAAAAAACAACTGTAATGGCAACAGAAACAGTGATGTCACTGTCCCCACCTTTGTGTCTGTGTTTTTCAGGATCTCTGTCAGCTTTTCCGTCAGTCTGGCCTCCACATCAGCTCCTCCCACTTCAGCACGCAGCATTTTTACCAAAGACATACAATCCTGGAGAGACACTCAGTGGTCAGTTCACCAAGCAGGGAAATTATTGTGGTAAAATCCAACACATTCAAACAGGCAGCTCCGACTGATTAACAGACATTACAAACCTGCCTTAAACACAATACTGATGAGAAGCAATAAATGAGGGCAAAATAAGAAAATAAAAGGCAAAGATACATAGAACAATATGCTAATATGATGAACTCCATGATTTGATATCAAATATAAATCATATCATGCAAATAATGAATCTTGCAACCTAAAGAGGCAGTTAAAAATGTATGTTATAGAAGGGCTTTAGTGCTGTTTAGTTGCCTAGTTTTGGAGATATTGACTGTAGAAATGTCAGGCTTCTCTGGAATATAATGGGAGTGAATGACATTCTTTCTGTGGTGATTAAAGTGCCAGAAAAATACGTTTGAAAAGTTCAACAGCAATGTCTCTTACCAGAAATCATGACCCGCCTACTCAAGATAATCCACAGACTGTTTAATCTAGGAACTATTTTCTTCTACCGAACTCCATACACCAGAGTTCTTCAACTCTGGACCTCGATTCCAAATCCAGGCCGTGTTTTCAGTTCTCCCAGGTAGTTG